ATAGTCATTTGCAACACTAAAAAGGTAACATTTGTAATGTTGCCAAAAGAGTCTTTTGGCAACATTTTAGTTAGTGAATGTTGCCATTGGTATTAATAAATGAGTTTTGACACCGTTTTTTAGAAAAATGTTACGGTAAACACCTTTAGTAACGTTTATTGAGTGTTGCGGAAGGTTTTACCTCTCGCAACATTTATCAAATGTTGCGAAATGTAAAACTTTTTGCAACGTTCACCAAACGTTGCTAAAGGTGAACGTTTCTAAAGGTCTACTTCTCACAACGTTTGCCAAACGTTGTCAAAATGTCGACATTTTGCAATGTTTGATAAACGTTGCGAAAAATTTTGTATTTTTTTAAATATACGCGACCTAAATTAACCCAAACCATATATTTATTCACCTCTCCCTTCGTTCCTCTCCAACCCGCGTCTCTGTTCATTCCTTTCCAACCCACCACCTCTAGCCGCCACCATCTTCTCTGCATGAACCCTTCTCTAACCGCGGACTATGGAGCAATTTTCAGCCACTTTCTGACCGCTAAAACCACCTGACATTGGTACCAACATCACCTCCTCAACATCCTCTACAATTCTCACCAAACATCTTCCAGTATCATCAACTCATGTGGCTGAAATCAGGAATCAAAACCGCAGGCCAAAACTGCATAAACTGCCGGAATCACCTCCTCCGGCCACCACCTTGATCGCGGACCACTTCTGGTCGATTGCCCATGTCCAGGTGACTCTGAATATCACCTCAATTTGGTCCAAACAACTGTAGCTCGAACAGAATTAAACCCAGAATATGCGCCAGTCGCGAACCTCCAGTGCAGTCCAAATAATGCAAATTTCGGCGCAGTCCGGCCAACCCATGGTCGCGGACCACCTGGGTTGGGTTCGGCTATCTCAGGAGCAGCTGACCCACTAATGGGTCAGACCCAATTACGCCTAGATCAGGTTCAATTTATGGAGGCAACTCGACCTTTATGTGCAAAATTGTTTGTTCGCAAAAGTTACATTTTTATCATATACTTATAAGCTATTCCATATAATTCTCTGAATATTGGTATATGAATTTGAATTAAAAACTGATTTCTATATTTCTGGTTATTCATCTGATGTGCTAACGATTGATTGGTGGTCGGATAAAGAATTTGAAAAATTGATTGGTTTTGCTATGAATGAGAGCTGCAAGGTTACAAATGTATGTGCTAAAAACCTGTTTGATTGGAAATTTACTAGTTACTACTACTAAAAAATAATCCAAAAAGATGTTGAAAACTTCCACTACAAATTATTCTCTCCTGGGTTTATACCCGTGTGTTCTTTATTTGCTCAGTCAAATTTAAATTGTTTTCCATGTTCCAGTGTTTATGTGTATTTAGACCAATTTTTATGTGCATGAATAGAATCATTCACTTCATCGTGTTGGACTTCGTTAGAGTGGTGAATCCAGGATTCTACTACTGCATCTTGTTTTGAACCAAGGTTGATGTATAAATTTGCGATGAAAGGGCTATCAATAACATTTGTTGGTAACTTGTGCAGATCTGAAATGTATTAATTCCAACATGAGTAAAAAACACCGAAGTTTATTGAAATTTGCGACTAAATTTTATGTTCTTCACAAACTTTATTTTGTTCCTAATTAGTCACTTCAGTATTTAAATTGTTTCGGTCACATCACCTAGTTAGTCTTCCACCCAATATTTAACCTAACTGCCTCTACAGAATTTCAATGTGTTCTAATCTACCATTTTCTTATGTAAAATGCCACTTGGGCAATTCGTGGACACATTACACGAGTCAGTATCCTAGGTCTAAACTTTATTATTGCATTTAACACATCGGGTTTGTGTATATGATTGTATTCTGAAGTTGTTCAATATGTCTGCTGCAGCTTCCTTAACAGCTTTATTTAGGCACATTGTAAGCGCCGCAGATCGAAGTGCTGATGATATTAGCACTTGGGAGACCATACGTGAAAAGGTTCTCTGCTTTATTAGAGATAAGGTAAAGGGATGCTTAATCTTTATGATGTTTTTTCATTTCAAAGACGTCTTCTGGAAATGTTTGAATTGTGAATGAGGGCATATTGTAGGTGTTTCCTCTTAAGGGAGAGCTACTAAAGCCACTGGACGAAATGGAGAGGCATTTAACTAATATGATAAAGCAAGTATATTCTTGTTTAATATGGAGCATTCACTACACCAAAAATGAGCATTCGCAACACATAAAAGGCAACATTTGGGAGTTAAGTGTTGCTAAAGGGGTC